CCACCCAGATCGCTCCCATTGCATCTGTGTATCAATTAAACCATCTCTGCAGCCTCCTAGTGAGCCAGTGAAAGCTTTGCCCTGTTAAATTCGCTGGCTTGTGGGAAGCCATACACACTCAGTTTTTTTGCACACTTCCAGATTACAAGTGCAGCTGAGACAGAGGCAGTCACTTCCCAGAAGCTGGTCAAAGGACACGCGTACTCTGTTACGGGTGCAGAAGAGGTAAGTGCTCAGCAGAAAAGAAGGGAAATGCAGCAAGCTTTGCACAGAGTCTCTCCCTGGGGGATGACAGCAACACATTCTTCTTCAAAGTTGCGTTCTGCTCTTCAGTCTCACCTGTTTTAAAGAATCAGGTTTTCCATTCCCTTCTTTCTGAAGAAAAAATTATTTAGTTTGTGTGTTTTCAGTTCACACTTTGGAAAAATACAAATGTGACTGCTTAGGTTTTTAACTGAAAAAAGAGCTTTCTTTCCTAAGTGCTCCCTGCTGTTCCCTGGTGAGCTTGCTTGTGAGAAGCTCTGTGCAGAGGACATACTACCCTCTGGTGGTTGCCTGGCCTCTTAACAGGTTTGTTTTTTTTTTTGCTTGCTTGTTTGGTTTTTTACAGCATCTGGGACTGCAACTAAAGTGCACAGCAAGATGTGTGAGACGTGCCAAGCAAAAAAAAAAAACACGCTTATCCCATAAATGCCTGCCAAGCAGTGCCTTTAGGCTGAGGATGATGTTTAAAAGTAGGATATTTAGCAAGAATAGGTGGCTGGTAAAGGTAAGACAAGTGAAATCAGAAAGGAAGCAGGCAGATCATGGAGTTTTTCTGTGTGTGTAATGGACTTTGGGTCAGCTCACAGATAATTATTTCTGAAATATCTCTGAGATTTCAGAGTGAGGTGTAATGAGAGGCCAGCCTCTGGCATACTGCATTGAAGTGGACAACGCTAATGGGCAGGTTTATGTGTTTGGAGCTGGCCCTGTTCTCACAGCAAAAGTAGTAAGAGAGTTTGCTGACTTTAATTCACAAGCAAGCATGACTTAGCCAGGCTTTTCCTTTTGGAAATATTTGCAGGCTTTCTGATGACAGCTTGTCCTAGACAGGAGAGCCCTATCTCTAGATTTCCGTGCTCTCAGCTGCTCTGTGCAGCACTTCTTAACAGTACCTATTTTCAGGCTCTAGCAGTACACTAGCTCCTTCCTCTAATTAGTGCCATTAATTCCCCGTAAATAATGATAGTTGTCATGGAAGCTTGTAAAGCTTTGTTTGGACTGGACTCAGTGTGTACAGATCGGTAGATAATAACCTAGTGCCTCTTCATGGTGCAAGAAGATGCTGTTGTGGCAGGGCTGACACTGCTGCAGTGTGGGCATTTGTGTGATTAAAGAGTTTGTGGCAGTCCTCACTACAGCCGGTCCTAGTATCCTATCTCTTGTAACAGGTGCAGCTCAGATCATATATAGGGAGGGAAGAAAAGGCATTTGCATATGAAAGGGCAGTTTATACCTACTTGACAACTCTAGAGAAATATTCCCTTGTACATGGTTCTTGGTGGCGTTGTAGCAGTTTCACGCTTCCTCTGCTTGAAATCCAATCAATCAGAAGTATTTTTAAGCAGCACAAGAAGGACATTTTGTTTGTCCTGAACATTGAAAAATGTCCTGAACATTGATTTGCGCACAGTATAAACATCTGTGCGTGCTTGAGTGGTTAGAGCTCATTCAAAAAAGAGTTTGACTTTTATGCCTTTTGGACCAGATGAGTGAGTGTATGTTGGTATATGTCCTCATGTATAGCACTCAAATATTTACTCTGACGCATCCTTTAACTCCCATAAGAAAAGTGGAATGAAGCCCAGTGCTTAGCCCCTGGATAACTCTCCATACGTTTCTAATCCATCAGGTGAACTTCAGAGGAAGCGTGCAAAAGCTGATCAGAATCCGAAATCCTTGGGGGGAAGTGGAATGGACCGGAAAATGGAATGACAAGTGAGTTAGTGGCTTGTGTGTTGCCAGCAGATGTTTATTGCAAGATGTGGTTGTGTTCCTGCTGTGGTCTGTTTTCTCTCTACCTGTTCAAGTCACGTCTGGGTGTGATATTCTGTCTGCATTGCTTGTGTGGTGGTGCTTTGAGCTGCTTGAAAGGATCAGTTCCGTCGCTGCCATCTCCCATGTAGGCTTCACAGAACGCTGTGCCCTTCATACAGAAACCTGCCTTCGTGTCAGATTGCAGTGATTTGATTGATGATTGCTACAAGCCTTCGTATAGTCTCTGTCACTTTACCAGCCTTGATATAGTGGTGAGCTTCTGAAAACTTATTCTCTAAAAGGGCATTAAAACTCTATTTCTGTTGTTAACAATGAAAGTTGGAGACTTTATACATCTGAACTGGGCGGTATTTTTTCTGGGGCTTCCTTTTTCGAAAATAAAGCTCCATCACATGCAAGCCATTAGCACTTTCTGAAAATCAAATTCAGTTTCTGATCCTTATCTTGGGTATTTAAAACATGAGGCATCTAATATCCCAGGTCCCTGTATCTTAATTATGCTTTGATTTGAAAGCTCTGGAGCTGCTGTAGGCATGACACTGCAGTCATGTAGAACAGCAAGAAAATGAGATCGTTGTGGTCAAACAGCTCCGTTAGGATGTGATGCTTGCTGTTGTATAGTTAGCGTGGGTTTGTCTTTCAGCTGCCCAAACTGGAATGGCGTGGACCCTGAGGTGCGGGAGCAGCTGACTAGGAGACATGAAGATGGGGAATTTTGGTAAGTAGCACAGGGTTTCCACTCAATCTGAAGGAACCGGCCTCTCCTCAGCATTCTTCACGTGAAGTACCCTCTCCCACCAGCCTCTTGAAGACGAGTGAGCTAATTGGCCAAAAAAACCCCAAGTGCCAAATCACAGTGAAAGAGAGAGAAGATAGAAAAGGTGGTTTTATTGAAGAGCTGTCCATCCTAAGCAGATTCCTCTGTGGCATTGCTTCCCACAGGATGGCATTCAATGACTTTCTGAGACATTACTCCCGCCTTGAGATCTGCAATTTGACTCCAGACACCCTAGCAAGTGACAGGTACAAGAAGTGGAGTCTGATGAAGCTGGATGGGAACTGGAGACGAGGAGCCACGGCTGGGGGTTGCAGGAATTACCCAAGTAAGAACATGCTGTCACTACAGTCTTTGAGGAAATCCTTATTCTAGTTGGATTACCTTAGAAATGTGGTGTTACATTTACATCCGGAATCTCTTGGGCCGGCGGGGTGGCCTGGCCTTGTCTTCCAATCAGTGTTAATTTGTTCTTTCTCTGGAAGCTTAAGTCTAGGTAGTTGTGCTTAAAATGCAAAGTGATTTAAAGCAGTAGCCCCGAGGAAACAGTGATCAGAGTCCCCTTTCCCTAAGGGCTTGGGAGGCTGAAGCTGGTTCTAACGCCGGCTTCAAGCAGCAGTCAGGTAGGCAGGTGTGCGCTGTGGTGCAAAGCTCGTTTCCTCTCCTGGGGTTGGGCCTGCAGAGGGACAGACGTGATGCGTGCATGGAGGCAGTCAGCCTTGGGAGCCATGTCCCTTCCACGGTATCAGCACAAACTCAATATCCTTGGCAGTCGCTAATTTGGGGTGGCCTATCCAGGACCTGGAATATCTGGGACTGATGTCCAGAAATACAAATGCTTTGGAAAAGCATCTTTCTGATAAAGAGTTTAGTTGTAGTTGTTAAGATGGGGGCTGGCAGTGGTGTTAGTTTTTCCTTCTCGTACACCGATTTGGAAGTCAGAGCTGCATCTGTTCCTGCCGACAGATTTATATGTCGGGGTGCGACTGCTCTTAAAGAAGGCTCTGAACAGTTTGCATAAATCTGCTTCCCTCCCCCTTCCCTCCAGATACTTTCTGGATGAATCCACAGTACTTAATCAAGCTGGAAGAAGAAGACGAGGATCCTGACGATCCTGAGAAGGGCTGCACTTTTCTCATTGGTCTGATTCAGAAACACCGGAGGAGGCAGAGGAAGATGGGAGAGGACATGCACACTATTGGCTTTGCAATTTATGAGGCAAGTAAGGCAGTACATGTGCATAAGAGGAAGAGGAAAGCTCGCCCTGCAAACGGGGCAGTGCAGTTCTTGGCTGCTTCCCTGCTATGCATACCAGGAAAAAAAGCCTGGAGGCCTTGACAGTAGCGTCCTTGTGGCACTCTGCACAGCCCTCTGCAAGAGTGGGCTTTCTGCTAAAACTCAGCAGGGTTCATGTGGACACTCGCTGCAGCAAGGAAAATTCCAGTTAGAAGTTTAGAAAAATATCTTCCCTCAAGAGAGTGGTCAAACACAGGGACAGGTGCCCAGAGAGATTATGGAATCTGTCTTCTTGGAGCTACCTCGACTGGATAAGGTCCTGAGCAACCTCATCTAACTTTGACGTTGGCCTTGCTTTGAGCAGGGAGTTGGACCAGATGACCTGTAGAGGTTCCTTCTTTCTTTATATTATCTCTGCGCTCCTAAATGCAGGAGCAGGGAAAGTGTTTACGAAAACTAAAATTGCAGAAATCCATTCTGAGCCTCACTTACCATGCTGTCGTGAAAAGAGACAAAATGAGAGCAGCTACACTAGGGATCTGACCCGGGAAAGTGGTATCTGGAAAGTAATCCCAGCAGCAAAACCAGCCAAAATGTCTGCAAAGCTTATTCTGCTGCATAAAGGGTCAGAAATATGTCTATGGTAACTCTTTAAGCAAAACATTGAGAGGTATGTTGTTAGAGCTACAAAGCAGAGATGCTGTGCCTAACTGGTACTGGAAATAGGAATAATGCTTTTACCTGAGATTTGTGATTTTTTTACAGAAATTTGTGACTTCTGTAATTGTAAGCAATAGATGCAACGGCTTTCTTTCTCAATATCCCAGCTTGGAAAAAGCTTGTCAAAGAATCTGCTCCCCACAAGCAAATGAGTTCTTAAAGGAAAGTTAGGTCTGCTGAGCGCATAAGGAAACAGAAAACTGCATTATTGTGTTGCTTAGCCCGTCTTTCTCTGCTGGTTGTGGAGAGGTCAGTGGGTGAAAGAGAAAGTGGTAAGAAATAATACAGAAACTGAGTCTGTGGAAAAATATCACTGACTGTTCCCAGGCTAATCCGAGGAGCTGTGTGGGTGTCTCACAGTGGGCTGCAGGGTAGAGCATCAGACGGAAAACAAGATTTTTTCTGTGTCTGTGCTAGCCTCTGCCCACGCTGCTCAGGGCCAGCCCTCCCTGAGCTGCAGGGGGCTGAGTCGGGAACTGAGGCAGCATTAAGCGGTGTGGGTGACGTGGGCTCAGCGCTCAAGTTCCCTCTCTCATTATGTATTGGTTTTTTTGCTGTGGGTTCGCACAACCCCCCCCCCCAACCCGAAGCATGTGGGTGGGCCCTTTAAGCAACAGTGAAAAGAAATAGCCCTAGAACAACAAACAAATAACTTTATCCCTGTCTCCTTGCAGGTGCCCCCAGAGGTATGTAGAACGGATTGCTGTTCATGGTGCAGAGCTGGGGATGAATGGCTTGGGGGAAGAAACGGTTAAGAGGATCCTCCTTCACTGACTGTACAGAGTCATATTGACTGCACAGAGTCTAAAGTTAGAGGCCATTTATTCTGGAAGTGGGCCTGGGCTCGTGTTTCGTTTTCAGAACGTCTTGGGTACGGGTAAGAGCTGTCTGTACTGCAGAAGTTTACCAAAGCTGCTCTGTCACTGGTCTTCTCCCAGCCCAGAACCATACCTTCTTCTGCAGAGTGCAGTTGATTTTTTTTGTTTGTTTTTTGGGAGTTTTTTTTTTCAGGTTTGCACAAAGTTCATGTTTTTGACACACAACTAATATTCCAAATAAGCATTTATTTTCATTTCCTTAAGCACTATCTTTATTTATTTATTTCTGTTTCTACCCACAGCTGGTTAATAGCGGGCACTAGGGATTAGAGAGGTTTGTGCAAAGGAGTGAACTACATATGCAATACAAGGCAGGGCTGCAGCACCTCTGAGTTGTTGCTTTTCAGAGGAAGAAATGAGGTTGTGCAAAATGCTGGGGTGTCCTCATTACACGGCTGCCTGTGCTTGAGACATTGTGCACGCAGAATGTCCGGGGCACCTCACAGCTCCTGAGGCAACACTCAAAACGCCATGCAGTATCAGTTGCTATAATGTAAAGTGTGTTTTCACCAGGCAGGAATTTGTATTATCTCTCAGTTAATTAAATTTCTTATGTACCTTTTGAATGTGTTAGCAGTGTTCTGACAGCTGCTCAGCTCTTACCCTAGTGGTCCAAAGCACTGGTTTATATAAAAAAGAAACTCAAACTACAGTCCCTTGACTTTTTTTCCACTATATATGGAATTTTTTTTATCCCACCATTGCAACAGGTCTGACAAGTTTTGCATTCTTAAAAGTCTGGGAAGACTGCAAGGGGGAGGTTTCTGGAAAGTCCACCTTCCTTGTACTGGCTTCTAGATCTGAGCTGGCTGACCTTTATAAACCCTGTGCAGAAGAGTTTATTCTGGACGATGTTATACTCCAAATATGTTTTTATAAAATGTAATATTTCTTTTATTCCTGAAGCGCTTCAGAACCGGGCTCAGAGGCAGTCTGCCTTCATAGGCAGAGGTGAGCTGAGATGCCCTAGTGGTACCAGCTCTTGAGAGTGCAGAAACATCAGGAACAAAACATTTAGCTTTAAAGGAAGAGTTTGCCAAATACCTTTACAAACTATTCATCTGTAAAACCTAGGAGTGACTTGAACATCCTACTGAGATCATCTGCCAAATACACTTGCACCCGCAGCTCTGGAGTATTGTGATGTGATACCCCTTGCCCTTTCTTTTTTCTCTTAATTCTGTTGAACTAACATCATTCTTTTCAGACTTAATTAAGAATATAATAGAAATTATAATCAGTTTCTAAATGCAAATACGTGCAAACTGTGAGGGCTTTCTGTTCCTTTTCATAAGTTTTCTGGCCAGACGAACGTTCATCTGAGCAAAAACTTTTTCCTGACAAACAAAGCAAGAGAAAGGTCGAACACCTTCATCAACCTCCGAGAAGTGTTGAACCGGTTCAAGCTTCCTGCAGGAGAATATATTATCGTGCCATCTACCTTTGAACCCAACAAGAATGGGGATTTCTGTCTCCGAGTCTTCTCCGAAAAAAATGCAGATTCCAAGTATGTGAGTGTTTTGTAACTATACGACCGCAGTTTGTGCATGTGTGCGCGGTGTGGGAGTCTAGGAGGATGGAGCAGCACAGCAACAGGGTAAAGCAGCTTTTCCTGTTAACGCCTTTGTTCAAGCCTATAAAATGCATTTTTGCTGACAGCCATCCCTGCCAGCAGTGAAAAGGGGCAGATTAATGTGTTCACGGACAACCTTTGATCGCAGGCCTGGGCTCTCCCGGCCAAGGATGGCTGGGGAGGGCCGTCTCCTCCGGGCGCAGGGATGAAAGCTGGACTCTGCGCAAGGCCCCTCTCCCTGCGAGCGGCAGTCTGAACCGGTGGGCACCTCGTGGGAAGGGGTCATGTTAGTTCTTATTTGTCCCTGGGCAAACTGGCTTTACTATATCCTACCTCAGTATAAAACTCACTTTGAATTGACCATAGTCTGACTGAAGTCTACAAGACCTGGCTAAAAGGGAGAAGCGTCCTTCGCTCCAGCAGTTGTGCTTTAAGTTACCAGAATGAGAGTTTGTGAGGATATTTTGTGTTTAATTCCACTTTCTTGTCTCAGTGCTAGTCTGGAAATAGGGAAACAGTTTCTCTATTGCTTCTGTGTGCAACAGAGGAAAGTCTGAGTAAACGTAGCAAGAAGGAATGGGATTTTTTATGGGATTTTTTTTATTATTTTATTCCCATCCCTGGCTGGGCTGACGTTTCTAGTAATAGGGCTGTAACCAGCTAGATTCCACAGCACAAGAAAGCCCCAAAGGATGGCAGTGCGGGAGATGGTAAGTGTGTGTGTGTGTGTGTGTGTTCTCATGTCTGTGAACACATTAATCAGGAGAAATGATCTTACCCTTTTAAAATCCTGCTGGGAAAAAAGAAAGGTACTTGCTCAGCTAAATTATATCTTTGATAAAATTAGAAAGGGTTTTAACGGAACTGGCTAAAACTACGCTGTTAGCTGTGAAGCCGTGAGAAAAGTTCAGCTGTGGCGCAGCCTGAAGAGCAGGTAGGCTGTGGTCTTAGGAAGGGGTTTCCTGGTCTTCCTTATCTATTTCCTAATTCTAAGCAAACAAACATCTCTCTGCTATGCAGTGATCGTTCCTTACACGTTTTCTTTAGTGGTGAGAAAACTGGGGCTGTAGTTGCGTAAAGGCCCGTTCAGTTTTTGATTGGCCTCTAGCTGTGCTTAAACACCATCCTTAGCTGTGATGTTCCTACAGAAGCTGATGAACAGTGCGACACGCTTCTCATTTTGGTCTGTGCACATGCCTGTAAGCACAGGTCAAAGGACATCTGAGCTGTGCTGCTGGGCTGGATTTCCTGTGCAAATCACCTAAATACACTAACTGCATCTTGGAACTTGTCCGAGCGCCTTTTGGGCATTTCTTTTTGCTTTAAGAAATAAAATGAATATATATATGCGTGTATATATAGTGATTAGATACAAGTTTGAATTGTACACAAGAGCTCAGCCCCGGGCTGAGGACTGTAGGCAGTGGCACTGAATGACCCAAAGGATTGTGTCTGGCCATAAACTCTCTCTGGGACTCAGGACGATGTTGCAACTTGTAAGGTGTTTTGAAACTCTGTTGCCATAGCTGGCAAAATAGTGTTTTCACTGGTGGCATTCAGTGTTTGAGGTTGGTAACTCCAGTAACCTCTTGGCTTTGAACAGTCCTCATTGTTACCATAATTTAAAGAATTCTTCTTTAACTGAAGCTTTAAGCAAGGACATCAGAAAAGTGAGACTTTTTCTTTGTTTTTAATATCAATCTCTTTTATTTTTCTAGGGTTATAGATGATGAAATTGAGGCGAATTTTGAAGAGGTATATCTTAACTTAAATATTGTAAATTGAAATAACTTTGTCATATATAAGTGGGATTGGAGTATCCTGTGCCCTACAGCAGGGTAGTATTTTTCTATAAACATTATCAAGAACTTTGGACACGGATCTTTGGATATGCATAGTTGGATATCCAGCAGAGACAATGGAAACATCACAAGCAATATCCGAAACAAATGCTGTCCCTTATCTACAAGTGAACTTAGCCTTTTCAGGTACCAGGTCAGACGCTGTCTGCAGACGTAACTGAAGCCAAAGGAAATTCCCTTTGCTCTCCAGACCTAGACACCAACACGCTGCAGGCTTGGTAATCCCTTCAGCCGTGTGTGTGTTTTAGCATGCAGTGTTGCTTCTGAGAGTAAGAAGTGGCTCCCCATATGTTAACTCTTGCTGAAGTTGGGAATCTCGCCTACTAATGCACCATGTTATATGTCTATCACTTTGTGTGATTGATTTTTTTTTTTTTTTTTTTTGCAAGGTGAGATCTGACACTTTGCTTGCTTTTCTTTAAGTGGTCCAACAGTAGTAGTAGCAGCAGTGAAGTTGTGGGTTTGTTTGGGTGGGTTTTTTTTTTTTTTGATAAAATAAAGACTTTATTTGATTTTTCTAATAGTTTTTACTTTAAATACATATATATATATATAAAAGTATTCATTCCTGCAGTGTTTGCAGCACCAGCATTTTGAGGAGCCCTGAAAATAAAAAGCAGAATTACTGTGTACCTTCAACTTTGCAATTAAATTGCATTGTTTTGCTAGAAGCAAGGATATGCATTAAATACATCTCTGTCAGAAAATTTCCTGTTTTCAGTATTCTGAATTTCTCTTTTCTAGACTGAGGTCAGTGAAGATGACATTGAACCCAGCTTTAAAAAACTCTTTGGACAGCTAGCAGGAAGTGTGAGTATTTTTTGTTATCTCTTACCCACTCACCTATGCCAGCAGTAAGAGAGATGCCTTGCCTACTCTGCAGTTTAATTCCTGTGCTGAGTCAGATTTCAAACATATGTGCATAATTGGGCACGCAAACATCTGTGTAGTTATCCATCTACTTACACTATGGACTTCTTAGCGCCCCAGCAAACCATCTCCGTTCTCTTTGAACCACAGACTTGACTTTCATCTCTGCAGGGATGTCCTTCAGGCAGAGTGTTCAGTCTGTGCGTGCAGTGAGGCATGCAGGTTCCTCTCTGGGTTGCATCTTCTGGGTTACATCTTCTCCCTAGGCTTATCTTGGCTGCCTGAGTACTCGAGGGAAGATACCGCAGCCCCGGTAGCACACAGTCAGGGAGCGGAGTGAAACCTCACTGGGCAGTTGTTGCTGGACGAGCTTACAGCTTGCATTTCTGTAACCGTATGCTGAGAGCTCCTGCCCACTTCGTGGGAGCAGTAGGCAGTGGGCAGTCCAGTAGCATCCGGGCTGGCCTCTATGACTGGTGCAGGTGGGTTTCCCAGGAGGTGTGGTAGAAAGGCAGGACTGGCAAACAAGGTTTGGCCTGTACCATGTGGCCTACATTACAAGGCATTGACAGAAACTCCCAGGGGATACTCAAGAGTTGGCAAACGCACCTGAAGGAATCTAGAGGCTGCTTAGGTGTCTGGACCCCCCAGTTACAGAACTTTGATTTTATTTTCCCCTTTTCCACAGGATGCAGAGATCTCCGCCTTCGAACTGCGCAATATCTTGAATAAAATCATGGCTAAACGTAAGTACCTTCCTCCAGCTGTCTTCCAGTTGGCCACTAGCAGGTTACAGATGGGACCCTGAGAGCACAGAGCACCCCACTAATTTTTGCAGAGTCAAATCCCTGGCCTCTGCTCCAGACCTGCAGCTTTCCCTCTCTGTATTGCCAGGGGCCTGTACTCTGCTCCTTCAGGAGTTTGCAGAAACACTTGGGCTGTGCCTAAGCTGAAGGCATGTTTTACAGGACCTGTGCTTTGGCAGGGGGCATATAGATTCCTGGTAAAAATGGATGCCTGATATCCCAGGATCTGACAATTGGTGGTGTTTGGCATGAAGATGGACTGCTTTGATTAATGCTCAGTAACGGACAAGGGAGGATATTGAATGATGCAGGATTCAAACGTGACATGAAATATTAAATGATAAGCTGGCATTCAGGTTTTCATATAAACCGGCTGCTATCATTTCTGCAAACTATAAGCAGAAGCACCCTCATGGAAGCCTACTACAGGTACTCTGCAAGTGACAGTCGCCAGGCGTCCTACTGTCAAGTGTTCCTCAGGAACTGTGGTTAGCATCACGATTTGGGTAGCTGCAGAGTCCGCCTGTGCATCTGCCTCATTGCGTGGAGAGGGGAGCCTGCACCAGTCTAGTTGAGGGACCTGGAGATCACATTGCTGTCTTAGGTGAAGAGAGTTTTAAAGGAGAAATTTGTTCCCAAAACAGCTTGCGTCAGAGAGAAAACTAATCTCTTGCGTAAAGGAATATCTTGCATCTGAGAACAGCTTTTTTCTGGAGAGAAATAAGGTGGGACTATGACTGAACGACTCGTAACCTTGCGGTTCGTCTTGATGAGCAGTTTGCTGCCCCCCACCCCCATCAGCTGCCCATTTTCAGAGTCAGGGGTGGAGGCTATACAACATTAGCCCAGCCAATGGTCTGGGGTATCCCTGATGAGGAGGAGAAACTTTAAATGTCTGGGCTTCCCTTTGTTTTTCTCTGAAGTCATTCAGAGCTTGCCCTTCCATTAAGCAGTGCTCGAGCTTGGAGAAATAAGTTTCCTTAATTTCCGCAGTGAAATCTTCGCCAGGCAGCCAGGGTTGTACAGTATCTGTGAGAGCCAGCTAGTTAACGATTGTGTATTGTATGTATCCAGGCTTGATTTGATGTTCTTGCCCTGAATGAAGGTGTCTCCTGTTGACTGCCGCAAGGGCTCAGAAGTCCAGGTTGTCCACGAAAGGCCTCCCTTGTCTTTGCTGTCTGTGCTTGATCTCTATCTGCGCTTCTGTAGCGCACATGCAAACCGGACTAATTGGGGTGTTTACTTGAGGAAACATCCCAGCTGACTTTCACCCTAGCTTTCATTGCCTGGAAATTACAGGGAGGCTGCTGGCTAGCAGCCTGTTTGCCTGCTTCAGTGCTGTCTCTCTCTGGGGCAAAACAAGAACCGTCTTACAACCGTTTGCGGGGGCCTTGCAGTTTCTGCTTGTGTGCCCTCCCACCTGAAGTTCTCGGTCCCTGACCACAGCCCCCCAGCATAAACATTGCCCCCTGCTCTGCCAGATGAGAAGGGCTTACCAGAAGTGGTATCGTACCACGGAAAGGGTAGCTACGCAACATAAGGCCGTTTCTCTTCCAGCATTTGAGGGAAATTGTAGGATTTTCTGGAAGCAGGTGTCCTGACTACAGTTGTACACGTGTCACATCTCCGCAGCGTGCAGGCTCTATTGCATCAGATATTTGCTGGCTCCCAAAGGCTTAAGATGATATTAATAATACCCGGACCACTAGGCAGGCATCCGCTGCTACTTACTGCACTGATACGGCCCTGATTGTGACAGTGATAAAGCAGAACATCTATTCCCAAAGGAAGGTTTCATGTAGAAACTGAATTGTCATTGACTAAGTAGTAGGTATATCTCAAACAAGCTAGAGGACTCAGCACAGTTTATGTAGAAGCAAAAACCACACCAAAATGAAAGTTATTCGCTAGTTGTAAAGTCACTGAAGACATAGAAACAAATAAGGGCTGCCATGTACGCACTGTGGTTACAGAGCTCCCAAGCTACTTAGGAAGGTCCTGTGGTTCAGCATGCAACAATAATCCTGTCTTTTTGCTCTTTCTTTACAGGCCAGGATATTAAATCGGATGGCTTTAGTATTGAGACATGCAAAATAATGGTTGATCTATTAGATGTATCCTTTAAGGCAGTATTCTGTGTGTGCTGAAGGAGGTGAGCTGCTGCCGTTCTGGTGGCGGGTCCGTACTAATGCATTAGTGACTCCTAAGGTGAAGAAGCTGGATTTACCCTGGGTTCCCCGGCATAGAAATGGTAGCCCTTGCAATATATTGCTGCTGACTGTGGCAGACGCGTTCTCTCAGGGGGTGAGGAAAGTCCATCTTCAGAAAGGATCGTCTGCTTTAAAGTCTTCCCCGCTGCTGCGGGTTCCGGTTTAGCTGGTGTCAGTGATGTTGGTGCTGGGGAAAGGCAGTGGCTCGCAGCGCGTGGTGCGGATAGCCCTGGCTGAGGGAAGTTGAACGTGCACACCTGGATGCACCTGACTGCTTTTTGCGTTTTTTTTTCTGTCATATAATGGCTGGGTTTAAGGGCATTGTAAAGCCACAAGGACTTAGAAAATAAGGCAAACAGGCAGCAGGAAGCTAGACATTGCTGGTTTGTAGGAGCTGCTACTACAAAGAATAAGGGCAAAAGTGTGGGATGAAGGATTCAAGTCTAAGAATAGCTGTGTTCAGTTTGTCCGTGAAGTGGGAGTTGAATTGCGTAGTCAGAAAAAGGAAAAATTACCAAAACAAAATGAAGCTCTGCTATAATTAGATGTGAAATGTGGCAGTCCCTAGGGGCCCTCAGCACTTTGTAGGAGAGATGCAACGGCAAGGTTCTTTTGTTAACTGTTTGTTCAAGAACTTAAAATCCTGTAAATAGGCTCGGTTGTGGCTTTGTCCTGTTTACAATCCAGACTTACAACTCATGCTCCTTCAAATGTATTGAACTACCTATGCAGAACAAAATGGCATCATCTCTGCTCTTTTATACATATATTAAAAAGGTAAAGAAAAGCCAGAGAGGAGCAGAAAGTTTGGTGAAGTAACCAAATGGTTTAAATGAATCGGTCATATCTTACTGATTTAGAAATTAAAGCACAACAAGAAGCCTTGTAGGACAGCTGTATATTCAACAGGATGGTAAGACATCAGCTTCACTGAGGACTTGCAGCCTTTTCTTTAATTGCAATTTTTAAAGTTTTAAGTCAACACTGCCCCTCTATGCAAACCTAGCAAAGGAGCGGGGGGAAACACTTTTTCTTCCTTCTAAAGAGTTTGCCTTAACTCCAACAAGACTGATGGGAGTGGTAAACTGGGGCTGAAGGAATTCCACACGCTCTGGACAAAAATTCAGAAATACCAGGTAAGACGCAACCTTTTTGAGAGAACGTACAATGAAATATAGAGGTGGTTGTTAGACTGCTTTGCTTCATGCCGTATATAAATACTAGAGAGTATGGGTGGCAATTTCTGGATGCGGCACCTTTGTGGATGGTCACTGACAACTGTATTTCGTTCAACGGGAGGGGAAAAAAAAAGGTCAGTAAGTATCTTTTGTTCTGAGAGAGACAAGGGCCCTCAGCTGCTGGTGATGCCCACAGCATTTCGCAGGATAAGGACAGAAAGAGAGGGAACTGCAAGAACAGCAGTCAAACGTATGCGCTAGAACGTCCGTTATTTAACTCCTACCTCTGTCCTAGCTCAAGCTGAGCTGTGCTAGTCAATCAAACAGTGAAACTAATAGTACAACCAAAAAATCCTTCCAAACTCAATCCTTCTACGTGAAGCAGCAGGCAATAAAAAGCAGCAGGTTTTCTTTTGTGTTTTACTTGGTAGCTCGATGCTGTCTGCTTGAGACCAGGCTGACTAAAAGTTAGGCGGCTATCAGACTTCCCAGAAACATGGACGCAACTGGGGACTTGCAGCACCAGGGACTGTGGCTTTAGCTCATGATATATTTGTGTCCTCAGTCCCCGAGTTTTACTCCTGAGAGCCAACAGGTCTGACGACTTGGCCATCAAATGCCTGCTAAAGGACACGCTCTCTGCCGGTTTTGGGGGTTTTTTGTTTACTCGCCCCCCCTAAAATGTTTAGCCTTCCCACTTCAGGTTTAGTGCAGGTCTTACTGCTTGCTTTGTTCGCGATGCCGCAGTTGTAGATGGGCGTTCAAGAAACTCTCCGGAGTCTTTATCCAATCTGGCTGCTTCATTAAAACACTTGGATGTTTCTCAAGCTGCTTTTAGGTGAACTCAGGGATGTGGGTGTGCAGTCCTTCCGACAAACATTTTGAACATTCCTAAGCAAAGTGCAGGCTGCATTTTAAAATATTTAACTTCTGACTGAAGCCGGATCTTCAACTGAAGCTGGCTGAAGCCCTGAATTATTATTGACCAATTTGACTTTTGCGTGTGTTCTGCAGAAAATTTACAGAGAAATTGATGTGGATCGATCTGGTACCATGAACTCGTATGAGATGAGGAGAGCACTGGAAGCAGCAGGTTTAATCTTGTTCTGTCTCTTTTTATGGTTTTCATCAGTTTCAAGCCTGTTGATAGATGCTCACTGGTCTCCCTTATAATAGTTTCAGACCTCTTTATTTAGATCAGTGCTTTCAGGAGTCAAGTTTCCCTTTGCAGAGGCTCTAGGAACTAAGACTGTCACTTTTTAAGTTGAAGAACGTTGTGTTCCTGGACCTGAAAGATCTCCCTTTAATCGATATGTTTAGGCTGGATTCTTTTGTCTTTATCTAGCAATGTCTTGCCATACAGGCATGCTGAAAGTATCTCAAAGGAGGGACCTGTTTATAGTTTTCCTTTAGAGACAGGTTTTGGTTGTTTTATGTGCGTTTGGGGCAGGGTGGTGGTGTTTTTATTTTTAATCCTTCGTACTGTCTTTTAGGGTTCAAGCTGAACTGCCAGTTACATCAAGTCATTGTGGCTCGTTTTGCTGATGAAGAGCTCATCCTTGATTTTGATAACTTTGTCCGGTGTTTGATTCGGCTGGAAACTTTGTTCAGTGAGTACACACTTAATAACAAAACAGATTCTGTAGCTTCGTGTTTTCAAGTGCAGGCTAATTTGTGTGGGAAACTTTGTACTGGTTACCAAAGTAAGTCACTTCAAAACTGAGGTGCAAATCCTGCAACCCAGTCCGCACCTTACTCCTAGAAATCAGCCTTTTACATCAGACTGCTGGAATGAAGCCAGAATATTTCATGCAAGCAAATGTTGAGTTAAAATAAAACTTTTTTTTTTCCTTAAATAGTTTTAGTTTGAGAAATACTTTTAGTATACAGACTAGCCCCTTAAAGTACGTGCGGTTTCTTTAGCAGCTAGTTCTTGTACACTAGCACAGTTACAATGCTTTTCTTATATGTGGATATGTATTTTTTCCTAATGTTTACAGTTGTCCCATTCTAGTTTTGGGTGTAGATCATGTTCATAAACTTAGAATCTGGGTATAAATGCCTCTTTTACCTGAAGCACAAAAGGATGGCTTTCTGATTAGTTCCTGTATTCATCCTCATCTGTGATTTGTCTCAACACCACAGAAATATTCAGAAAACTGGACACTGAGAAAACTGGAGCAATAGAATTGAACCTTGTTACTGTAAGTTGATTTGCATCTAAAAAGCCTGTTCTCTGGGTGGGGTGGGGGCAACAGCAGGGACTTGCAGCTGGCCTTGTATGTGTTCACACATACATACGGCTTTAAGCATCTTGTGTATTTATATGCAGCCTTAGGAAAGTTTACCCCTTTTTTTTTTTGTTTTTTTAAATGTTCCTACACCAAATCTTACTCTCAAACAAGCTAGATAAGTTGCTTTAAGCAGATGCCACTCATTGCTTACTTGCAGTAATTTGGGTTGAAACCTATGCAGGCCTCTTCCCCACGTTCTCCATCAATAATAGGGAGAAACGTAGGAATGGTATTGACTCAAAAGGTCACCACGCTTGCCCTGTGGTGACAACTAAGCTAGAAGAAAACTAGCCTCCTGCATGGTTTCGATTCACCTGTTACATGAACGTAAATCATTTCCCTCAGGACCCAAAGAAGGAACATTCCAAAATTCTTATGCATTTGTGGCCTTACCTTAAATGAGGTATAATTTAAATAGTTCAGGAACTATAATCCAAAATTACTTTCTGTAAAAATACTTAACACTGCCCTCCTCATGCTAGAAATAGGAATGCGCATAGTTGCGACACGTATTCTTGCTAAACTTACTTAACCTTGGCCCTTTTCTTTTTTCTCTTTCTGTCATATACAGTGGCTGTGCTTTACTATCATTTGAAGCACTGATATTAGCGGAAGACACCTCAAAAAGAGCAAGATTATGTGAGGATAAAGCATACCACCCAAAAAAAAAAATAGTGGATGTGCCTTAATTTATGAATGGTAACGTCTCACTATTACTAGGCAGAATCAGCAGCCTAATTCAACAACAGAAGAACCTGCAGCCTCATTTTAGAGCTATGATGGTCTTTATCTACTATTTTATATAATGATGGTCTTTATCTACTATTTTATATATATAAAAATCTCCTCTCTCTAAAAGTTTTAATTTAGTAAAGCCTCAATGTAACTTTTGAAACTACTGCTTTCCTAATAGCTTCATATTTGATGTATGGTATGTGCTTTCTTGAAGAAAAACAATCCAACCAACCTGCCCATAGCCTGTGAGTCTGGTTCATTTAAGTGCTTTCTGAGTAACAGCACATTAAGTGTTCTGCTTGGTCCTGTGTAGCAGCAATTGGAAAAGGGATGGTGTTGCACATCTCAGAACAGCACTGTTGAGGTTAGCTGCACATCTCTTCTGGTTGCAGTCAAGAATAATAACAATTATAATCAGCAGTCTGAATAATAACATTATTCAGATTAAACAGTCAGTCTTTGAAGAATTTGAGTAGCAAATACTAGTGTGACCAAACTGAGGACAAGTCTTTCCCTCCTGCCTATTGCAGTCCTTATAGCAGGATGCTGTTGGCACCTAAAAACCTTTAAGAGAAAGCCAGCCTATGCTCTCGCACAAATTCTTGATTTCCTGTATCTTGTATATATGTTCTTCTAAAGTACAAGCAATAACTTCCACTGTTGTGTTTTCATTTAGCTAAAAGGTTGCAAGGCCATTATTCCTTCTCAAAATAAGCATGTGCTGCTTTGAGATGGGCTCTCACAGAGTAAATGCAGAACTGTAGTTGTCAGGAACAGAATAAGGCTCCTTTTTAAGGGGAAAACACCATTCTGGAACCAAAATCACGAGGCACTGACAGATACCAACTGACACCTTAAAAGACTAAGGGCGGAGGCAGTGAATTTTTCCAGGAATGATGATCAGTATTTTGTAGCCTGTGTTCTACCTATTAAAATTATGAGGCTGCAAACAGTGGCAGACCACTGCTTCAGAGAGTTCTCACTACAGCTGATTTATTCTTGTCCACTTGAGGGTTTGTGTCCTCTTGCCTACTAACAACTTCCTGGAGTTATGGGTGCATTTTCAGAAAGCAGTAAGGACTTACCCAGTAGCGAAACATGAACCTGAAGGCGATGGAGAGAGGAGCTTTACAAAAATTCCTTTCCCTCAAGGAAATATTTGATCCTCTCCAAGTAATGCTGGTTTCTTTTGTCCAATGATTACTCCTGAGCAGATAGATACAAAGGCTAGTTCCTATGGGAAAGGTTTTATTTAAAAAAAAAAAAAAAAAAACACTTCTTCCAAGTCTTTTTCTTACATGTGTCCTCTAGCTTCTACGGTTAACAGAAGATATATGCAACTAACAGATAATGGCTAAGTTTTAAATGCAGAAAACCAAGTCTGAAATGGTACCTCTCCTCCCCCCTTCAATACAGAACATAACTGAATGTTACCGTAACAGTGCGGTACGCTGTATTGTTAACATTTTCAGATGGTCTAGTATAAAAGCTTGACTTTAAAATAGCCAGGAGTTAAGGCTGAAGAGGAGACAAAAGTTTAATAAAAACAAGCTGACAGGACTACAGAGAGTTTCTACACTTAGTTTTCAAAGTACAAAAGACAATAAATACAGGAGGCTTTTTGTAAAAAGAGGAGTCTAAAACTACGTTGTCTGTTATAGAGCACATAATATTTTGAATACATGGAATTCCTAAGATGCTACCGCATTTTAAAAGTTATTGCTCAATGCATTGGTCACATGTTTTTTACTGTTTAGATGCATTTCAACTTAGCTACTTTAACAAATATTCTGTTCACAGCAATAAACATTAGGGTGCTGTGCACGTACTTCAGATGACTTCAGTTTCCCCCTCTGGAAAAAGCCTCAGGATAAATGTGGACAAAGCCAGTCATCTGTTTCATGCTGACTCCTTCAATGGTAAATTGAAAGGGTCCTTGTATTTAATGCAGAAAAAATGTAAAATTCTTTTCTGCCATGCTTCAAAAAAAAAAAAAATCAGAGTGGGTACTTGAACATTAGGCTTGCTTAGACCAAAGGCAGCAGAGTTTCATTTGCTCGTAACCACTATTTCATCTTGCAGAATGCCCTTTTCCATTTGCTAATGCATCAATCCTTCATTTGTTTTCAAAGCACATTCTTCATAGCTTTCAAATTACATTGTCATTGAAATAAGTCTCATGATATTGGAACCAACACAAAATGATTTTTTTAAAAGTCATCCATGATTAGTACTTCAAGGGTCTGGCTTCCATACTAGTTCATGCCAGGCTTCTCTGTCGAGGTTTAATCCTTGGATACAGCTGAGGGTAAAACAGAGAAGAGATTTAAAATTTTAGTGTTTAAAATGGTACTTATTTTTTCTTTATACTTTTTGGTGATACAATTCTAATATAGTTTTTAGCAGCAAAGTCTGCTTATAAAAACACTCAGAGCACTAACAAAAGTAGATTTAGCATTCTTTGGGCAAGCTTAAAAGTACTAACCCTGTAAGTACACAAGTACAATTATGGCCAAAGGAAGGCACTGAAGAGCAAGTCCTAGAGCCTTCAGTTTGACTCAGCTGGGTGGGCTAGGGGAAGTAGGTGGTTTTGTAAGTCAAGGCTTTTGTGTTCAATGAACTATGGGATTGTACCACAGCAGAGATGAAGTCAGTACATTACACCCGATAACACCTGATAGTGTTTCATTTGGTACCGAGAAGTCATTTTGACAATATTATCCTATTTGCATTCACTTGCACAGTTCTTGCACAGCCCAGGAAGTCAGTGAACCAGTGAGAAGGGCAGAGTACTGATGCAGATAATTTCAGCCTCAGTTTTATTCAGGGCACCTAGCTGCAAAAGAATAAAGCAGCCCTGATAAAAATACAACTTCATACAAGACTGTATTAAACTACCAAACATTTTTCTCTGGCCTGAACAGCTCAGCTGGATTGCAGCAGCTATATTAAAAGTCTAGTAGTTGCTTTTGAGAATAACCACAGCATGCTTAGGTAGCCATACAACCAAGACTGAACAGCTGCAAGCGTGTAACAGGTACTGCTGGGTTTGGGTCGTTTTCCCAGAGGTTCTGTTAGGACTGTGTTGTGCTCAGAAGATGAGTTGCTATCCCCTTCTCTCCTGTGTTGCCTTGTGCTTTTTATTACAGAAGCACAAACCTTCCTCACACCTTCCTCCTGCTGAGCGCACCAGCTGGTGAAGAGGGAGCACATGCACAATTCGCCCCAGGGCGGAAAAACCGTAAGCCTTTGTTCCTGACCCTATTCTGCAGGGCTGGCACGTGGGTGCTCTCAATTTAGAAAAGTTTACCTTTGGAGAGGAGAAAGCTAAGCAAGCGCTATGTCAGGGAGAATTTTACATTACGTTGTGGGTAGGCCTAGCCTAAAAATGATATGGATATGAACACTTATTTTGCATTAATGTAGTTGCTCTGGAAGTCTAGCCAGTTTAAGAATAAGGGTTATCTGTACGAGGAAGAAGGTTCAGCCTCTTTCAAGCATCGTACATCAATCAGCTAAAATTCAAGGCAGTTAGTCTTTAGCATTGGCAGCCAACCTCTTATTTCCTGCAGTAGGGTCACTGGATATGTAGAAAAAGCAGCTTAGTGGAGCTTTTATACATGGGTCCATCTGCTACAGTTTTCTAGCAACTCAGTCATGAAGAGAAATATGGGGAAGTAACTGAAAATATCTCCTATTATCCATACACAGCTATTAAAAAAAAAAAAGCAATACAGAAAGCAGAAGGAAAGGAGAGGCCACTAACTTCTTCAAGGCCTTTGACATATAGTAAAAAGAGCATAGGACAAAGCATTGTCAAATACTTGTCAGATTCGGCAATCCGATCTCTTTTTCAATACCAGAAAAAGGTAACTGTAGAATTTCCCAGCGTGCTTGTCTTAAATTTCTATGTGACACCATCTCAGAGCATAAGGTGCACTATGTACCCCCAGAATATGGACAGGGAGGGACTAGTGACTCATTCTTGATACAAGTCTCAGTTCTTAAGGTTCTCTGTGCCAGCCTATCACTTCCTAAAAGGACATGAAGCCCAGTTCTGTTTACGTGCTCAAGAGAACCTCACGTACACATCATACTCTGTTAAAGTAGCTTTTTCCTGAGATGATGAGGGTAAGGTTAGTATTAGAATCTGCTATGTGCAGCAAGGCAGTGATATATGCCTTTTTACTTATCTATTAATATAGTCTACAGTAAGTAAGTATCCAAATGGAGGGTGTTAACCCACTTTGCCAAGGCATCCAGCTCCCTCCATCGAATAAATGGAGAACTTCAATTCCTACCTTTGGACTTTTGAAATTCCACCTAGCCTAGACGCATGAAAAGAACGCTATGAATACTCCATTTAGTGTATTTGTCTGTGACTGTGGAACTAAGGACTCACCCCAAGCAGGTTGCGAGGTACATAGCCTTCCTTGTCATTCAGCCGTGCCCACCACCACTCAATTTCATCTTCATCCTCCCGGCGCAAGATTGTCATGCAGTCTCCCTCTTTCATTGAGAGCTCATCATCGTTCTGAGCCTCATAATCCCAGAGTCCATAAATCACTCCTTTGTTCATTATCCCCATTTTCTCCTGGACTCCTGCAACATTAAAAACACAAAGCAGCTCAATACAAAAACTGGATCCTGACATCAGACCATTGGAAAGACTGACTGATGGACTCTTATCGGACAGCAGTCCGGATTTAAAAAAAAAAAAAAAAACCTCAATTCCTATTACACTTTGCACCTTGTTATCAGCCTACTGAAAGTCATTCCTGGAATACGTGGCGGTAGGAAGTCAGTCCTTTCACACGCCAAACAGATTCCTGCCTTACTTTGTATTCTTCAAATACAGTGTAAACAGGGAGTGACCACGAGAGGAGCAGTGACTGAGAAAAAGGTAAGATTTTTAGGTCACTGTTCAGGCTTCCTGTACATAAGTGATGAGCAAGAAACACTGGTTTGCATTCTTAGTTCACCAGTAATTTCTGTCAAAAAAAAAAAAAAAAGACAAGGTACCTGCTTATGTTGATCATCGTTCTGCTGTTTGGTGACAAACATTACTGATACACTGTGGCTTTTTCCCCAAGTACATCTACACTCCTTACAGATGTTATTTAAAACATGCTCATTATTATTATTTGAATATACTTCTGTAGCCAAAAATGAAATATTCTCTCAGTATACATTCCTCAGCTTCGAGACAGCGAGTTAAAAAAAAAAAAAAACAAA